CCCTTGCCTATCTGTGGCTCTCGTCTGTGACACTGTTTACTGAAGTGGCCCAGCTTTCCACAGTGGAAGCAATTCTGACATCCTTCATTACCTTTGGGTGGTGGCTGCACATTCTTGGCACTAGAAAATCCAAAAGATGAATTTCTCTGGGAAAATCTGCTGTCAGGAGCCTCCCCATAAATACCTAAAAGCAACGATGTCTAAACTGACTAAGGTTTGCCTGATGCATGCCATGGCCTTCATAGACCATGCATTAGAGAGTTGGAAAGTGACTATGCCTTTGGGTTGTGGTGCTGGAGAACATATCATGGACTCTTGAATATTCTGTGGACTGCCAAGAAAACAAGTAAGTCTGTCTCGGAGAAAGTGAAACCAGGTCTCTCCTTGGCTAGGATTTTGAAGCTCTGTCTCACATGGAGAAGGACATCATGCTTGGAAGAGTGAGGGACAGCGCAGGAGAGGAAGCTCCAGGATGAAATAGATTGATACAGTAACTCGGGTTTTGGGGGTAGGTGGGGCAGAATCAGTGAGACTGGCTTAGGATAGGACAGGCTTCAGAGCTGTTGTACATAGGGTCTGTGAGTTGCAGGTGACTCGATAGCACATAATAACAAGAGTCACACTTGATGGCACCTAATAGCAATAACATCTATAGTACCTTTCCAAGTAGACTTGCATTCTAATAGTGCACATCCTTACATAAGAAAGCCCAATGGAATCAACTCCTAGTGGGACAGTATGCAAAAACAACTAGGGACAAAGTAGCGGTCTGCCATAGGGCCACGCTGTCCTCTAAAAATAAGATGGTGCCTGGGAGAGCAGAGTGAGCCCTTTCTTATAAAGGAAAAAAAGAACATTCAGAATTTTGCAGTGCCTGTGTTTTGTACCCAGGACTATGGCACTCTTTATATGTAGTATATACTGGAATCACTTGATAAAATCTGCTAGCACCATGTGAAATAAGTATTTCACAAATGTGAAAACTGAAACCCATAGAGGGTAAGTAGCTTTTACAATGTTGCAACAGTAAAAGGTAAGGCTGTTTCAAATCCAGATTTGTTTAAACCAGATCTCATGCTCTTTCCATTGGAATACATTTATTGTTTGTTGTGTGCCTTTGAGTTGACTCTGACTCATAGTGACCCTATGCACAATAGCTCTCAACTCGGCTCTAAGCCAGTCTCACTGCCTCTGACACTTCTACCATCATTATAGTAGCTACTGTGTTAGTCTCATCTGGGGTCTTCCTCTCTTGCGCTGTCCCTCCATACTTCCAAGCATGATGTCTTTCTCTAAGGACTGGTTACTCCTGGCAACATGCCCAAAGTATGTGAGATGGAGCTTCAAAATCCTTGCCTCCAAGGGACAACTTGGTTTA